AAAAAAAAAAAATCTCCAAGAAAACCTCAACATAACCAACCCCTATATGTCTTTTTAATCAAAACCCCATTTTTGATATATTAAGTTTTCACAACAAAAAACACAACTATATATATATATATTGTCCAAGTTACAAAAGAAATGCCCATGGAACGTTCAAACTCATCAAGAAGCACAAACTCTTCATTCTCAACAACATCAAGAGTAAGTTCTTCATCTTCAGTTTTATCTATACAATGCTTAAAAGGAAGCTCAAAATCCGATGAATGGACCGAAAACATGCTACAAACGGGCGATATTGTGGAGTCGCTTCTGTTAGGGAACATGATTCTAAAATCACCATTCAAAAATGGTAAAAATGGGATTCAAAAGATCATGCATACTTCTTATAAAGCTAAGGAGACTTCAATATGTGTCCGAGTTAGACGCGGATCTGATGAGTCATTCACCGAGTTACAGGTACTGAAATCTGCAATACTTCTGTCTGTTCTGATACCATATTAGAAAAATACGATTTTAATTATATTATGTCTCGATAGGCATGTATCGTTCCGAACGAGTTTGCCGGAAGGAAACAATATATGCTTAGAGCTATTGATGATCCAAACTATGCCGTTGGTTTTGTTGATCGGACAGAAATGGAGTGTTTGGAATTACAAGGTACGTTTATAGTTGACTTTTCTTTGTGTTTGACTTTTTGGTTCTTTTCTACAGTAGTAGTTTGATTACTATTCCTTTGTTGCTGATAAAAGTTGCTTTGTTTCACACGTTTTTCTGGACTTTGTCTGCCTATTTTGCATTTATTTTGAAATGTTTCTATCTTTTTTTTAAAGAAGAGCTTAAAAATTGCATTAGATTAGTGACCATTATCTTTAAAGATTGTAAATAACAATACTTATAAGTAGTTGACCATTTTTTACCACTATTTCGGTCGGTAAATTCATAATAATTTTAAAAAAATTATTTTTGTTATGAAAAAAAAAAATGACCCTAATTTCGACCGATATTGGTTGGTATACTTAAAATTTTTTAATTAAACTTTTTTTTGATAGATAATATGCAAGTCTGACCAGGTCTTGGTCAAAATTGATCAATTTCCAACCGACAACGGTCGAAATTTTTATATGCGTCAGATATAACAGTGTTTCTTTATTGTGAGACCACTTTTTCCGATCGATGGTGGTCGGTATCTTTGTGTGAAATTTTTTACTTAACTTTTGCAACCAATTTACATATGTTTCCGACCGATTTCGGTCGATATGCTGTGGACGGTTTTTGGCAAATTTCTAGTAGTGTTTGTATTCATGAATCGATTTAACTCATATTTTTCTAGGTGTGTTGTGTAATGAGACACATTTCTTTTCATTTTTTTAAGTTTTGGTGAATAGAATTATCTGATATTTCTCGATATTCACTTGATAGATTAGTCGTGATGATCATATATATAAGATTTGAGATGAGAACTAACCAAACTAAGTTGATTCATGAGAAATTAGGAACTATCGAATTTTGACAAAATTAAATGAGTAATTACTCAACATAAAACATCTTATTATTGAACTGAATTATTGCATATTTAGTATTCCTAAGATATAGGAGTTGTTGATTTTAATTTGACGAACTACCAGAAATTGAGAAATTTTATTTCAAGAACGAACTTTTTGATTCTTATTACGTTTTTTTCTTCTTTTGAATAGTATACCATTTTCAAGGAACTTAATTTTGTCTTACTTAGGTCAAATGTTCATATTATGTAAAACAAATAGAAAGACAATGTAAAACAAATTAATTAAGGATGCAATTTAGTTATATCCTTCGATAGTGTAAAGAAGTTTTTTAACTATTAATGAAATTTAAGCTGTTGTAAATAGTCAATCGTGTAATTTTTCTGACTACTAATAATTCCAATTGTTATGTATTAGTTGTAATTACTCTTTAAAGGACTATCAATATATAAAAGTGAAACGCTCCATTTACTTGCTGAATATATATTAAGTATTTATTTTTCTTAAGAAATATCCAAGAATATGCGCCCAAACTGGCCCGGACACCACGGTTATAAAAAAAAAAAAAAAAATTATCCAAGAATATGCAGTATGCAATGATATATCTTTCACTTAATTATCTTATCTTCTAATACATGTTTTATATCTTCAATCTTAGAATTAGTTATCGAATGTTTTCTTATAACACCAGCTACTAATATCTTGTCTACCATTTCGAAAATTGAAAATGAACAAACTTGTGAGAATACACAAAGTTTTCAAATGTTTGACAAAATCATTTAAAAATCCAAGTTGGAATTATTTAATCCTATATCACTTTCAAGGCCTTTTCTTTTTGTTGGTAAGTTATATTTTTCAGAAAATATTATTATTAAGGTTGTTGTCATGCATGCCCTTTGACTAGGTATTTTTCTAACCTCTCAATGATATATATATATATATATATATATATATATATATATATATATATATATATATATAT